GGAAGTTGCAAATGGAGTCTTCTTCCAGTAAATGGAACTATGCAACTCAGACTTGTAGGAATCCCTCTCTTATACTGTTTATGTTCTGGAGGGCATTGTCATTGGAATCACTATTTGAGACTCAGTCTTTATTAAGAAATTACATTTGAAATCACTATTTTAAACCTACTGCTCTTCAGTAACTTTATCCAAAGTATTTATGGAAAAAATTGGGTCATTTTTGTTGTTTTTCCATTGAGCCTAGAAAAAATAGTGGATGGCAAAGTGAAAATGGGTAAATTTCTGAAATAGTCTTCACTTAACTAGTATGGGTCAAAAAGTAAAAGTTTTTTTATGCAAAGAGCTACAATAATTATAATTCTACTCAGCAAAGGATTTAGGATCTGTCATGTCAGAATTAGTTTTGCGGATGCATTAAGTAGTTTTAAATTCATCAGTGCTACTTCAGTAGTTTCAGCCATTAATTGCTTTGCGTTGAGAGATGATACATATTTATTTTTTGAAGCTGTTACTTTAAAACATCCATTGTTCTAATAAATTAGTTTTCAATGATTCAAAGTTTTGACTTTGGTGAATTTTTTTGTCACTGATTTATTTTGAAGTAAAATGCCACAATTCCTTCCAGTTTAAAAGAAATTTGTAAATAATCCATATTTGACCTGTATAATATTTTCTTTTTCACAAATTAAAATAAAATAGATGGTTTGAAATGTAGAGCTGGGGGTAGGCTGTGTTTTCAAACCAATACCATTAGGGTTGTCACTTAGTCACTTGAATAAATTGTGTCAAACAGTCACAGAAATTTGGTTTTAGGTTTTTGCACAGGACACTTTACTAGTCAAGCTCTGTTCTTGACAGATTTTTCTTAAACTGAACTCTGATTATCTTTTCCACTTCAGAAACAGCAGTGATTCCTCTGTGCATGTGAATGATTCATTAATCAGACCAGACCCTTGTGATTGCAGACTCAAATTCGATTTTTCTCAGGAAACTTTCAGGTGATGCGGATGCACATTGTAGTGGTTCTTATTTATGCACAGACAAAGTTCGACCATTTTCTTTCAGTTGATTGGCTGTTACCGAAAAAGATGAGAACGCACTTTGTCCTGCTCGTTGAGGCAAAGTATCTCTTCCCCCTGCTAACTCCGGCCAGCTTGCCAGGTCCTTCTGTCAGGTGGAGTTAGTTCTGGTACATCTGGGATTCAAACCAACAGCTTCAGGATTATGACCAATCACTAACAAATACTATTAATTCTAGAGGTTTTTGGAAATGTAAGTCTCCTCTGTTTAAGTGAAAGATTTCTGAGCCCATTTTTCTATTGATTTGCACAGTAGTTGGGAATACTTGGCATAGTTTATAAATTGAGAAAGGAAAATGGAATTTTGGCAGAGCATAAAATCTTTCTTGTTTAGGATTCTTGTTGGTTTTCTTGTTGAATGGGCAAATCTATTGAAAACATCATCATTCATGCAGTAACTAATATGATATTTTCAAAATTACCATCAGTAACATACTTGCTCAGGAAATAAAATTGATGACTTTCCCATACAGCAGCCAGTGAGCAGTTGGTAGAGACCTTGGATCAGTTCATCTGCCTTTTCTTTTCATCTAGGAATTATGAAGGGGGATAAAGGGAAATATATAGGCCAATGAAGAAAAAAGGCTGGGTGTATTTTGGAGAATGCTTATATACAGTATTTGTCAAATGTTTATTGTTAATGAAGATCTTGAACCTGACTGCAGAACAAACAGATGATCCGAATGGATCTTAACAGGAACTACCATTCCTGCTATGCTGCTCATGGTGTCAGCACATCCCTGTGCAATGCTTAAGACTTGGGAAACTAATTGTTACTCTTACTAACTTTGACCTGGCGTTCCCTCATCTTTCACCTGCCCACCCTCTGCAGGTCTGCCCCCCACCCCAAGCTCAGTTGTACAGTCAGCATTGTGAAGTTCAGTGAGATGTCCTCCTGACATGAAAGGCACTATGAATGTAAATTGTATTGTGTTTTACCGAATGTCTTGGTTGAGGTAGCCACCTCTCAACTTGAGCTTGTCTGCGGTACTCAGATGACCACCTAATAGAGAATTCTATAAAGCTGGTGAAAAGCAGAATGAACAGTTATTCAGTTACTTTCAAGATCATTGCCCACTAGAAACCAGGCATCAATTTGTTATTGATTCTTAAATTTAGAATTAGTTAACAAGAAGATGTTATTTAGTTTCTTCTGCATACTAACATTTGGCAGCATCTGGCTTAAATTTTTTTGCTGTGGCATAAATCGTATCAGCAAGAAAATGGTACCGATCAACAACTCTGTCTGGTGCCACTCTTTCCTGAAAATATTCCACTTAAATCAAAATTTGCTGAGTATTTGTTAGTGGATTATCATGAAGCTACTGCCACATATTTATGGCATAATGTAAAAAACATGCTGCAGAATAATTAATGGGGCTGAAGACTGCGGCATTCAGTTTAATGCTTTTATTGTTGCAGGCTTTTGACTGAATGGATAATGATCACCTTGTCATGTAGTGAGAAGGAGAAACGCTGATTTAATATGCAGAAAAAATAATGGTACTGTTTTCCTTGTAGGTATGAACAGTCTGTACACTTAACCTTCAGCACTGATCTGCATATTATTTTGCGTTTTAAAAATAGTTTTTGTCCTGTCCGTCATCCTGTGTTCTGTCATCCTTAGAGCTTTAAGAGACTAAGCTGCTCGTATTTTTGAAAAAGATCTTTTATTTGTGCTTTATTATGATTAAATGTGTGTGATTACAGTCATTACAGCAGATCATTAGAAGGTCTTGTCTGATCAATGCTTAGCATTCATTGCTAGTATTAGGACAACAAAAGTTGTTGATTTACAGCAAGCAGCATACAATTAGCTTTAAAATTGGTGTCTGGATTTTCTTGGTTTGGTGCAGGTTGAAAGGAAATTGACTCAGCAAATCTTCATGATGTGATTCACTATAATTTTACTTCCTTGTTACTTTGTGGGCCAAATTAACTAACTACTGAACAGTCTTTCTTCGATATCAAATCTTTAAAAATAGTTATTATGGAGCCATTCAGTCACACAAATACCACAGTTTTTCAGTTATTTAGAAGGTAGTTGATAGAATGGGATTTTGAGACCCAAACTATTTCCGTTCTTCTTTGCAATCTCCCTACAAGTGGTCTCAGAAGATCTGATCTCTGTCCTAGTTTGTTCATTGTGTCATAATCCTTTTTTAAGGTAGCTACAGCAGTTTATTCTGTGTGGTTCACTTATGCATTTTGCCACAAGCTATGTTATGCAGGTGCAACCTCAGCACCACAAAGTAATTTTTGACCTATCTCAGCATTGTGAAATCCAGTTTTGTCCTGAGACACATTTGTGGCTCAGGAACAAGAGCGTGAGGTACACAAGTCGAAAAGTTAACAAACGTTACAGAATTTCCTCTGAAACATTTATTTATAAGTCTGTCGTACTCTTTCAGTAAAAAACACCAAGAATAGCACATAGACAGCAGTGAAGCTCAAACATAAACAAATCTTAGCAGTATAAAAGCAAAGCAACACGTTAGTCTGAGATTTCACAAATGTTTTTCTCAACCAATTTCTGAAAATTTGGTGAAAATGAATGTGCAACCACACAGCAGTTACGAGGAGATTGGAGACCTCATGAGGTGCAAGTTATATTCATTTAAATACATGGAAAACAGTTGGTGAGATTTGTACGTTTAATATACAAATCTACATCATTGTATTTTCACTCAAACGTATATCAATTGGGTTTTGTTCGATAATTCAGATGTATATTTTGGGTATTATTTTAGGTGACTATTTCAACAGAATATTTGAAAGGCCTGACTAGAGAACATTTTACCACATGCGTATGATGGGTTTACAACAGCAACAACAACAAGATTCCACTTATAGAGCGCCTTTCACGTCAGGAGGACGTCCCAAGGCGCTGTACAGTTGGGTCAGGACCCGAGCAGGGGGGAAGTGGTCAGGGTGAGGGGAGGGAAGAGAGGAAGCGAGGAGGGGGTAGAGAGTCGAGAGGGGAGCTGAAGGCACGGTCAAAGAGAAAGGTCTTGAGACCGGCCTTGAAGGAGGAAAGGGAGGAGGCGGCGAAGGCACTGGGGGATAGAGTTCCAGAGTCTATGGGCTGAGAGGCTGAAGGCCCGGCCACCGATGTTGGGGCGGGGGGGGTGTGGAGCAGACCGGAGCCAGAGGAACGGAGGGTACGGGCAGGTAAGTAGGGGGATAGTAGGTTGGAGAGGTAGGAGGGAGCAATGCCGTGAATGGCCTTGTAGGTCATAATAATGCACATGCTTTAATGCATATGTAAGCAAATTGTCAGCGGGAGTTATCTGATGAGACGTGCTTTCTGCTGAAATTGAGGTGGCTCATGGTTCTATGGTTCATCAATGCTGACCTAGCATTGAATCCGACATTGAATCTGATGCAAATAATGAGAGATAAAGGAAATCAGACCCATGCAATCTGCTGGCAATTTATTGTTGCCTTTTACCCTGTTACATTCAAAGTACTTGTTATTTGGTAATTCTGAACTCAGTCTAGGGTGATGTTCCAATACATTGCTGTGGAGTGCTATATTGTTGGAATGCCATTCTTCGGATGACACTAAGCCAAGGTCCTATCTCTGTTCAGATGGATAATCAAGATCCTGTGGCAGTGTTTGAAAATATGAGGGAATTTCTCCCAGTGGTTTGTTGAAGATTCCCCAAATAAAATTGGTCATTTACTTCATGGCTGTTTATGGGCCATTTCAATTGCCTGCCACGTTCGCCAAGAAAATATATAGTCACGACACGTTACACTGAATCCAGTAAAGTGCTTTTAGATGTCCTCCTGATGTGAAATAGGATATATCAACTGCAAGGATTATTATAAAAGCACATAACTATTGTCCACATGTTTAATAATTCCTGAAAATGTCTCCATTATTTGATTTTTTTGATTTTTTGGTTTTCATCTTAGATATTAAAGCAGTTCCCTCAAGTACATCAAGCAGCAGTCCTCAAAAGATGACTGATAAAAAGAGGCAAATGAGAATGTGGTTCAGCCCACGCAGTAGAAAAATGAGATGTGTGCTGGATATGAACCTCTCTATGCAAGACAAAAAGAGCTCAAGCTCCATTCTGGCTGAGGATTCATCCTCTGTGTTTGAATTTTTACCATCACCACCTCATCTCATTGGCTCTCCGAAGAAGAAAGCTCCACCAAAATCTAAGCAGACAATAAGAAAAAGGTTGGTTGATGCCAATAAAGTGTGGGGCTTTGGAAAAATAGAAGGCCAGAAAATGGAGAAAGATGATAAGGGCTGTGCAGATAATGAAAAAATAATTCCATTCTGTAGCCAACCAGAGATTTTCAGCAGTCCACGAGAAACTGTCACCGGAGAGGCTACTGAAGAATCAATCCTTTCGTTTGCACCTCCGCTGCCTGCTTCTGATGCCTCTTCTGCAACAACTTCTAAGCGGGAAGACGCATCCTTTGAGCAGTTGCACCAAACTTTTGAGCCTAAAAGTATTCTTACTCCTGTCACTGTTCCTAGGAAGCCTCATGCTAAACGATCAAGGAAACGATCAGATTCCAGTAGGGGTACTACCTCAAAAAAGAGCAGACAAGAAGACCGAGAAGCGTCCTGTCTTGTAAACCCTTCTCCAAATCGCAGTATGAAAATGCGTGAAAAGTCCAGGCCAATCTCAGAAGCAAAACTTCCAGCTACACCGGAACCCAAGCCCGGCCGGAATGAGACTGTAAATGGGGCACAAACGTTTTCTCTGACAAATATCTCCTGTCACACTCCAACTGCAAGATGCAACAGTGAGAAAAAGCAAAGAGCAGTAGTATCCGGGCCTCTGGTACAGAAATCCCCTTGTACGCCCCAAATGACACCCAAAACAAAGCTGTCTGGAAGATGTACAACACCCCAAACCCCTCCTGTCACTCCCACAACAAAAAAAAACCATAAAGGCGAGACTCTACTGCACTTGGCATCCATAAAGGTACTGTACAGCGGTAAAAGCATTCATTCCAGAAAGATTTTATTTGGGATCATTTGTAACTTATGGTGTCAAACTGTTAGTTGACAGAAAATGCTGATTAACTTAGTACAGTATCTACTATGTGTGTGCGTATATGTGCTTGAGATGTAGTGTTGATCATTTGAAAGGGAATATTGCAGCTTTAAGTCATTGTCGCTGTGTCAAAATGACAAACATTTGTTAAACCAGATTACAGTATGAAATGGCCGCAGCAGTTGCAACTCAGTAACTGTGAAGTTTATAATGGGCCATAGATCAACTAGTGCTTTGAAATTAAGGTGCAAGGTCAGATACATCACTTTAATACAATATTACTGTTCATGTTTGGTGCCAATGACGAATAATGAAAATAATCTACACTCCAGCGAAACCCCATCAAATTCCTTGTGCCCACTGACAAAATATTATTGACCAAAAATGTATTTTACTAATGTTAAATAAATCTACCTGTTTAATAGAAAAATTAACTCATTCCAACATCGGTCCCTTTAAAAATCCTCGGAAGTATTGTAAATTGCTGTTGGGAATTTTGTTTTATCGTTCCTGAAGCAATGCAGAAGTTTATAAAACGTGAAGTCAGTCTGGCCAAATGCATGTTGCTTTTTATACTCGGAAGAAAATTTAAACGAGTATCCTATGTTGCTTCAGAATTCTTGGTAGCCACTTGGCAGGAGTTTGAAACTCTTGACTCAAGTACGTATTACCCTTCTTAGAGTCTCAATTGGCTACCGCGTTTTGCCCACAAATATACAGTCAATTCACTTTACAGTATACTGTGAAGCGCTTTGAGATGTCTAGAAGACGTGATAAGGCGCTATATCAAATGCAAGGATTATTATTGTTATTAGAGTCTGAATTTGGGATCATGCCCTACAGCTGGAGTTCGAAGAAGCCATGGACATTCTGAATGTGGTGCAGCTGTGCCCTTGCATTGTTGAAAGTATTACATAAGTACGATTACATAGTCTCTATCATTAGAAAGCATTGATAAGTTCCAAGCGAATCTGTCCAGCTCGGAGAATCTATGTTAGGAAATTCAGTTCACATGATTGAGAACGGTCCAAGTTTTAATGATAAATTAGACAGGCAAGTCACACATGATCAATGCCTTGAATTTACTGCTTCCCTTTGAGCTGGTTCAATTCCTGGCAAACCCATTTACACAAAAACCTCCAGATTCGGCCCATTCATATTTAGAACAATGTCTGATATTCCACCTATGTCAGTAACAGATATTTGCACTTTAAAACTTCCCAGTCAAGAAACATTACTCCTAAGCCATTTTGTGAAGTATACATGAAAAATGCACTGGATTTGCCTTTTATCTAAACTGAGTGTTCTGCATAATCCTGTCTGTGTTGTACAATGCTAATGTGCTGAGTGCTTTACTGTGATCCAGGGTGACGTGGGAGCAGTGGAGCAGCTATTAGAGAATGGAGCTGATCCAAATATCAAAGACAATGCAGGATGGACACCACTGGTGTGTATTTCTTATTCAACACTGGTACCTTGTAAACATGGAGCAAATGTTTCATATTGGCAAACTTGTGATATTCAACACACCAATTCATTTCATATTCAATGTATGTAGTATAAGATTCCCTTATGGACTGCTGAGTAACTGTGATTGGGAGGGGAAAATTTAGCCTATGACACCCCTACTCTTTCTACCCCCACCCCCCCACAAGCACAGACACACGCACACTAGAATAGCCTGTCATGGAATCAAAACACAGAAATGCCCACTTGAATAAGTGTTGCAACCTGTGAAATTGTACCCCAGCAAGGGATCGTGCCTTTCGGTGTGTAGGATGGAAAGAACAGAGGAGAAAATTGACTAAAATCATGTAAATAGAATGCAGAGTGGCAAGCACAGAGATGTGCCAAGTATCTGCACTCACGCATTAGTAATGATTTAATTACATGCATACTATTCAATCTACTGAGGGAAGATGCTTACAATACCCTTTCTACTACCCATGACAGCTATTAGTTTTTTATTTGCCCTCAAAAAATGTGTAATGTAATGCTCTGTAGTATCCTATCTGCTGGCTTCATCTCTTTTTTTCCCTGAAGCCGTGAACAAGAGCACAGAATTAACACCAGTGGGTTTCTCAGTAATAGCAATCCTGATGAGTTTCACTGACCCTACGTATATTATCAGAGACATTACGATCCAGTTCATGAAGCCAGTCCACTGTGGCTCTAAGCGGGGTACCTCAATCAATGAGTCAGTGACATCTAACCCAGTTGTCTCAAAGGTCTAGTTTCGAAAAGGATGAATGTAATGCTCATTGTTAGAGATGGTCTTAATTGCTCTGGAGTAGGATGTTGTCTCTTGTCTGAGAAACTGGTTTCAAGTAGCAAAAGAGCAGATGAAAATGGATTATCTGTTTTTTTTAGTGTACAAAGATGGCTCATTTCAGTGTTAATTCGGGCCCTTGAAAAATTAAGTTTCAAAATATGACATTTACAATTTAACATGAGGAATAGCCAGACATTTTATGCAGTAGGTGCTTATTTATATAGTCTTCCAAGAAGCACAATGAGTTATTTCAAGTAAATAGTTAGAAGCAAGAATATAACCTTCCAGGCTTGTCTCAACCACATGTTTTACCTTATGCCTGTTGGTAACAGCTGCTGGCCTGCATCTAAAAATGTTTCCTGTCTGTCCTCATCTGGATGATTGGCTTTTGAGAGAATGGTCTCAACACGGAGCAGGTCTTGACTCAACCAAACTACCTGTTGACCTCAGAAAATCCTATTTCTAGCTGCAAAAGATGCATCAGATTAGAGCAACTGAATGAGCACTTTTGCTCATGTTTGAGTAAAAAAAGAGACTTTCAGTAGAAATAATTTCAGAGACATTAACTTCATTTTAGTTTGTGAAGAATATATCCTGGAACTGCCAGGGAACATCTCATCATAACACACCCTTTGAGCAGAGTATTTTAAACAATCTACAGACCAAATGATTTAACAACCAACTCACCAGTATCCTTATTTTGTATAGATTTATTTATCCACCTTTTTAAACTTTATTCTAAATGTGGTCATTCAACAGAAATCTAATGCTTGAAAGAATTCCTTTTACCTCTCAATGAGGTGATTAAAACTGCATTTGTCAATTTGTCAGAGACGCTGTACTTTTCAACAAAAGGAATTTAACCTCCGCTCTGAGAATATTACTTTATTTAATTCAAGCAATATTGCAGATTTTCTTTTCACGTAGAAGGCTGCAAGGTGTCGAAAAATATTGTAGATTTAGAAATCTGTTTAGTACTCTACATTTAACAGTTTTATGACAATTTGAAGTGCTCAGCTTATTTTGCTTTGGAAGGTAAATTGCATGACCTGTGCTATTGCAAATAGAAGTTTTTTGGTAGAAAATAATTCAAAACTCCCCCCCACCCCTGCCCTGTTGAATTTTTGCTTAAGGCATTGTTCTTTCCTCCCCACACTTTGTGTCTTAAAATATGCACATCTGAGTTAATGCTGTTGTATTATTGGCCTCTAGGAGCTGGGGCTAATAATCCATCGGTGACTGCACTTTTTATACCTGAAATGTCAGATACCAGTTCAGTATCTTTCTAAGCGACGCTGCTAAAATCAGCAATGTAAGATGGGAGAGATGGCAAATTGAGTTTCAGCACTGGGGCCCTCAGGGTGTTGGTTGGAGGGGGATTGCTTGATACCCATTAAGAACTAAATTTTTGCGCTGAATTATACCCTGGAGCTACAGAAGGTAAATTTGCACAAATTCAGGTACTTTTGATTTACAGATTGTCTGAATATCCAAACAGATTTATCTTAGATTTTTACGGCTAACCCTTCTCGATGAAGCCTTTGCTTCATTCGTTGTAGGGGCCTTTGTATTGTGCTCCATGCTTTTACTCACTTTGCATTGCTATCATCAATTTTACTGGTAATTTCTAAGTATGGTTGTGTTTTCCTAGCATGAAGCCTGTAACCATGGTCATGCAAAGGTGGCAGAGCTACTGCTGCAGTATGGTGCTCTGCTGAATACACCTGGATACCAGAATGATTCACCCCTGCACGATGCAGTCAGGAACAGACATGTTGATGTTGTCAAACTGCTGATCTCACACAGGGCTGCCCAAGAAGTGGTGTAAGTACTGTACTCAACCAAAATAGACTTGAGATCTGTTAACTAAAGCTTCCTAACCTATATTTTGCCATGTGTCTAGACTTAACTTTTACGCTTCACTAAAAGAATGTAATCGTTGCATTAGTGTTGTACTGAAGAACTTATCACTATTCGAAAAAAGAAGGGAGTTTCTTCTAGTGTTCTGGCCAACAATCAACAACAACAACAAAAAAAATTACATTTATAGAGCGCTTTTCACGTCAGGAGGACGTCCCAAAGCGCTGAACAGTCAAGGGTTGGGACCCGAGTATGGGGGAGGGGGCGTGTAGGGGTGAGGGAAGGCAGAGAGGTGGGAGGGGGACCAAAGGCACGATCAAAGAGAAGGATCTTGAGACCGGCCCTGAAGGAGGCAAGGGAGGAAGCGAGGCAAAGGGACCGTAGGATGGAGTTCCAGAGTGTGGGGGCAGAGAGGCTGAAAGCCCGGCCACTGATGGTAGGGCGGGTCCGGCGGGGGACATGGAGCAGACCGGAGCTCGCTGAACAGAGGGAGCGGGCGGATTGGTAGGGAGTCAGCAGGTCAGAGAGGTAGGAGGGGGCAAGGCCATGGGTGGCCTTGAAAGAGGACGAGGATCTTGAATTCGATCCTCTGAGGGATGGGGAGCCAGTGGAGTCAGGCGAGGGTGGGAGTGATGGGGTCCCGGTGCCTGGTGAGTGAGAGTACATGAGCTGTGGAGTTTTGGATGATCTGCAGCTTATGAAGGGAAGAGTTGGGAAGGCCGATGAGGAGGGAGTTTCCTTAATCGAGTCTTGATGTGACAAAGGCATGGATAAGGGTTTCAGCAGCCTGAGGGGTGAGACAGTGGCGGAGTCTGGCATTGTTGCGGAGGTGGTGATAGGCAGTGCCAGTCATAGCGCGGATGTGGGGGAGAAAGGACAGTTCAGGATCAAACAAGATACCCAGGTTCCTGACTGGCTTAGTGAGGCTGAGTGTGCAGCTGTGGAGGTTGATGGTGCCACAGGGCCTGAGGCGCGGAGGCGCTGGCTCGAGCCAATCAGAAGGGCCTTGGTCTTGCTGACATTGAGTTGGAGAAAGTTGTCCCTCATCCAGGGCATGATGTCGGACAGGCAGTCGGTCAGGATGCCAATAGTCCTGGAGTTGAGGGTGGAGGCAGAGAGATAGAGTTGGGTGTCATCCGCATACATATGGAAATTTACCCCGTGTCTGCGGATGATGTCACCAAGGGGGAGCATGTAGAGGGTGAATAGGAGGGGACGGAGCCCTGAGGAACACTGCAGTGTTCCCCCCAGAATAATTGTTTGTGGGACGTTGCTATGTGCAACTGGCTGCCATACTTCACCCACAAAATACACAATCAAAAGCACTTCATAGAATTTCCTGTGGAGTGCTTGGAGACGTCTTGACGACGGATAGGTGCTATATCAAATGCAAAGATTATTAAGAATTTAAATTTACATTCAGCCATTTAGTTACATTAGTAGCAGTTAGAACAAATAGAGTAATAATTTATCATCATGCCTTTACTGAAAATTAATCTAGTTCCATGTTTGATGAAAAGTATCCTTACGGCAGTGTTTGTTAACCAGTATATTTGACCATGATCGTACAACTAACAAAAATATTACTGTAGTTTAAAATGAGTTAGAGAATCTTAATGCAAGACCAGATTTGGGACTATTAGAAGGGAAAGACAAAGATATTATCTCCCTCCAAGAAAACACAGTGAAATAATCGCAACAGCACAAAATGGAAAACTTAAGTAAGCATAGAACTGTCGCTTGGAATTATAACGCTGATCTTTATGATTCTCCAGTTGCACACCAAAACCCTTTCCACTTTGGTATAAGAAATCATCAAAGAAAACGCCATTATGTTTTAGGTGTACTTATTTAAGTGATAGGAAAGGCAACATAGATGTGAGAATAAGGTGATAAAGCCAATCATCCATTGCACAGAAAAATAATTTTGGGATTTCATTGATACACAATTCCTGCTGAACGAGTTCAATTTTGCATGTTTTCAATCTGACGAAACACACAGTTTGTCTTTAGTTTCGTTAGGTGATTGGGGGAGGAAGTGACAGCCTTAGTATCATGTTTTAGTTTTGTTATGTGAAGAACAAATCCCTTGATAATGTGGATTTTGTCAGATTGGTTGAAGACTTCATTGAGAGCTTGGGCAGCAATGCCCTGTTTCCTTTGTGCCCAGTGGCCTAGCAAAGGCAAACAGTATGACTTAGGAAGTCCCAGTATTGTGCAAATGTTTTTACAATAGCCCATTAATAACTTGATCAATTTCTAGCTTATTGTGCTCTTAAATAAGTATTTGCCTATAAAAACAGTCACTATACTTGACAGGTACAGTTTTAGTTTTGATGTTGTAGGCTCAGTAATCTGCAAGCTAAGTGCACCAGCCAAACAATCATGAATCTTAATAATAATAATAATCCTTGCATTTGATATAGCACTTTTCACGTCGGGAGGACTTCCCAAAGCGCTTCACAGAACACACTGTAAAGTGAATTGACTGTATTTTGTGGGCGAACGCGGCAGCCAATTGCGCACAGCAATGTCCCACAAACAGTCGTAGATTGAAAATGACCAATTTTTTTTATTATTGTTTTTGGTTTTGGAGGGATTATTATTAGGTGTGTGGAGTAAGGAAACTTGCCCAAGGTTTCGCCTCTGCCTGGAATTGAACTCAGGTCTCTCCTTGCAAAGCGAGTGCTCTACCCACTGAGCTACAGGACTCCACCTTGTTGCTCTCCTGAGCTGCTGGAGAAAGCCTTGGTGTTTCAGTGCTAATGTTCACACAAAGATGCAGCTTAATGTGTGATTTACCTGGAGCGGTATTAACAAGGAATAATTTATATGAGTGCTGAGAATTGTTGTACAGCACCCATTAGATATAGAGCTATGAATAGTTGGGAGTGAGTAATGAACCTGATCCAATCCCTGAAGACATAATTTCAGCTGTTAATTCCTTTTCTACCATCCATTTCTGATTTTTTTTTCTCAGAAAATCAAACTTACCAGTATACTCATTCATAATCCCACTCAGGCCATAAATCAGTTCCAGTGTCCTGAAAACTACTCTTTAATATTTGGATTGAAACATATTTATTGAGACCAGAGGCTGGATTGTGCAGTGCACCTGTGATCATGTATCACTGTAATTTTCATTCCAGTCACAGGATCCCAAATTAAATTTGCTTGTGGCTTTGTCATTAAAATCTTTCAAATTTGCAAAGCAAAAAAAAAGGGATGCATTATATTGCAATCCTTGTTAGTCAATATTCCAATCACTGGCAAAATAACACTAAAAGAACTGAATGTTTTTGAAGAAGGATTTTAAATCTGAATTTCAAGCATTGATGGTGACATTTATTTTTCCTGCAAATTTGTACTGGAAACCTTTACAAATGTTTCTTGTGCAGCCATTATCTGCCAGATTGCAACAGCGTGGCTGTAAAATACTGTACACAATTACAATAAAAGTCATTCCATTATTTTTTTCTGTTTAACTAGCGTGCAGGGTATCCATATGGCTAGAATACCTTATTTTTATTTATTTAAGTTATGATGCCTTAAACAAGCTAATTGCTTTGTTTGTATTAACATTTTAACTAAAGGTGTCACTGAAATGCTTACCTTGAAGGTTTGTATGTTTAAAAAATTATATTATTGCATCATGTGAAATAGCCCAACTATTTGAAATGCGGATTCCAAATTTCAGTTGTGACACATTGAGGAAAAAGTTAAATGTCATTGAAACCTATTTTAAAAATGAGAATCCCTGTGATTTATACCCACTAAACATCATCAGCGTGGGTTTAAAATTAGTTTAATGAATTTTAATTATGTAGATTATTTTAAGCGAAGTATGTTACAGCTGCTTAATTAATTCAAAGTGGGGTTTTATAAAATAATTTTAAACATTAGAGGTTTTAATTTTCAATTTTAAAATGGATCCGGTTTTCTGTAGAATGGGACATCCCTGATGCCAGTGAATGCTCTGTGAATGTTGCAGTTGCTGTGCTCTGGGACGCTACCCTACATGAGGGGTGCTATATAAATGCAAGTTGTTGTTACAAAGAGCATCTAGAGGGGCTAAGGCAGCCACACTGGCAGTAACCATGTTTTGACTGCTGTTGACCTTGTTTACACCGCTGTTTTAAGATGTGCATCTCACCTTTTACTGCTAAATGTTTGAAATCCATCATAAAGATTATTCTTTTTGTAACTTTTTTTCTGCCAGTTTTCTCCCATTCCATGTCTCCTAAATACATTAATTCCCTGACGGCTTTGATTGCTGGGTCTCCCTCGGGCACCTTGTTTAAGTGTCTATTATTCATATGTACATACGCTTGCTGGTTTCCAATTTTAATCAATAAAAATCAGTATTCGTTGGGTTTTTCAATTTTCTCTAAATCGAGGAAAAAGAATTGCCATTGTTATGCGTTGGACTTCGCAAACTCCTGCTTGTCGGCCTCTCCAACTCCTCTCTCCATAGGCTGCAGATCATCCAGAACTTTGCAGCCCGTGTTCTCTCCTGCACCAGGCTCCTTGACCCTATCGCCCCCATCCTCGCCCGACTCTACTGGATTCCCATCACATAGAGGATGCAGTTTAAGATCCTGGTCCTCACCTTCAAAGCCCTCCATGGTCTTGCTCCCCCCTACCTCTGCAACCTCCTAATCCCCTACCAACCTGCCCACTCCCTCCGCTCAGCAGGCTCCGGCCTGCTTCACATCTCCTCCTTGCCTACCCCACCATTGGCGGGTGGGCCTTCTGCCACTCTGCCCCCACCCTCTGGAACTCCTTCCCCACCATCCCTCCACCTTGCCCCCTCCCTTGCCTCCTTCAAGACCCATCTCAAGACCCTCCTCTTCTACCATACTTTCGATCACCCTGCTTCCCCCACTCCCTTCCACCTTCCCCAATCCTGACCCCCAGCTCCGGTGAGAAACACTGTCTGTCCAGCACCTTGGATGTCCTCCTGA